AAAAAAAAAAAAAAAAAAAAAAAATTCAAGACCAGCCTAGGCAACACAGTAAGACTCCATCTCTACAAAAACTGAAAAAAAAATTAGTCAGGCGTGGTTGCACGCACCAATTACTCACTACTCAAGGAGGCTAAAGCTGGAGGGTAACTTGATCCCAAAATGTTAAGGCTGCAGTAAGCTATGATCACACCATTACACTCCAGCCTTTACTCTGGGTGACAGAATGAGACCTGGTCTTGAATGAATGAATGAACTTACAGCTGAGTCAAAGAACTTTAAAGCATTCACACTTAGAAGATTGCTTCTAATATAAATTACATTTGAATAAACCTAAACAGTTCTCAAGATGATCTCATTTTAATATTCTCTTAAAACAGTTGGCTTAAAATCTGACAAACTGACTACTTACTAGAAAAAAACAGTCTACCTCATTAACAAATAAAAAGCATCAGATAGAGGCTGGGCATGGTGGCTCACACCTGTAATCCCAGCACTTTGGGAAGCCAATGCAAGTGGATCACTTGAGGTCACTTGAGGTCAGGAGCTCGAGAGCACCCTGGCCAACATGGTGAAATCCCGCCTCTACTCAAAATATAAAAATTAGCTGGGTGTGGTACATGCCTGTAATCCCAGCTTCTCAGGAGGCTGAGGCAGGAGAACTGCTTGAACCTGGGAGGCAGAGATTGCAGTAAGCTGAGATTGTGCCAATGCACTCCAGTCTGAGTGACAAAGTGAGACTCCATCTCAGAAAAAAAAAAAAGCATCAGATCTCGGTCAGGCGCAGTGACTCACGCCTATAATCCCAGAACTTTAGGAGGCCAAGGTGGGTGGATCACTTGAGGTCAGGAGTTCAAGACCAGCCTGGCCAACATGGAGAAACCCTGTCTCTACTAAAACTACAAAAATCAGCCCAGCATGGTGGCAGCCACCAGTAATCCCAGCAACTCAGGAGGCTGAGAGAGGAGAATCACTTGAACCTGGGAGGCAGAGGCTGCAGTGAGCTGAAATCACACCACTGCACTCCAGCATGGGCAAAAGAGCAAGACACCATCTCCAAAAAAAAAAAAGCACCAGATCTCTATAAATCTTAATCAAACCAATAATGCAGGCTAAACAGCTGAGTGGGCTTACAAAACACTGGAGTATCAGAAAACTAAAGAACTCAGCTGACTTCCATTGTAAAACAGAACCACAGAGACAAAGCTGTAAGAAATAACTCTCACTGTCTACAGATGAGTCTTTGAGTAAATGAAAGCAGTAACTGCATTTAACAAGCAAAGCCACTGAATTTATCTACACTTGAAGAGAACAAACAAGGCTTTGGGGGCCCAAGAGAATGCAAGAGGACTCCACACACCAGAATGCTATCAGGGCGGACTCTGGATGCCTGAATTATGAATGATTTTGTTTCTGATTTTTGTATGTATCTGCCTGTGCTTTCCATATTTTCTACAATAACCATTGTTTTTTACCAGAAAAATTAAAAGTACAAAAAGAATTGCATATTGAGAAAAAATATTTTCACACAAACTTTTTATAATTATGTATTCCTTTCCACTTCAAACATAAAACCATCACCTAAATGAATGGATTTTAGAAACAAGAAAGAAAACCTCTATTATAAGTACTATTAACACTCTGCACATAGTAGGTACTCCACATCTATATCTTGTTATACATGTTAGCTATAGATCACTATCAGATGAGCTTGAATCTTACTCATAAACGAGTACCCTACCTATGCACACTAGAGATACCATCTGATTCCCCAATTACCGGACACATACTGTTGGTCAATATATAGTCATTTTTATACTTAACTATCAGCATTCTATATGTCTATTTATGACACTCTGGCAATTACATTAAAATTTCTTCACCAATCTAGGAAGAACTCTTATCTACCATACAAACTATAATATCAGTGTTATTTGTACTATGCCAAAAAATAAACCGTATTTATTACAGTGATTTATCTTGCAGATGTGTTATTTATATACACACATCTATTATACATCAAAAATTGGAGAGTAGATGAATCTTCTGACTGTGAGAAAGAAAAAAAAGCAAAACAAAAAATTGGAGAGTAGAAAGAACAGAAATTACACACATAAAACAAAAAAGGAGGTGAGATGATGTACTATGAGCAGGAGAAAACTAAACTCCCAGCCTCGCTTCCATCTAGAAGATTTGGCAAGATAAACAGCGTAGCTTAGGCAGTTTCTGAACAGCTGCACAAGTCCCAAAATGATACATGATTTTTCACATTGCAAACTTCACAGCTAACTTGAAACTATTTTGGTAAACAGTTGAACAGGTGTAACGAAATTTGACATGTTATGAAAATGTTCAGGACCAAGATGAACAAAGGCAAAGTAACCTAAATTTAGAAATCACTTTAAATGAACAATAGGGTTGTAACTGTCAAAAAGTTATTTACTTTTTTTTTTTAGACAGAGTCTTGCTCTCTCACCCAGGCTGGAGCATAGTGGTATGATCTTGGCTCATTGCAACCTCCACCTCCCAGGTTCAAGTGATTTTTCTGCCGCAGCTTCCCAACTAACTGGGATTACAGGGATGCACCACCACGCCCAGCTAATTTTTGTATTTTTAGTAGCAACAGGGTTTCACCATGTTAGCCAGGCTGTTAAACTCCTGGCCTCAAGTGATCTGCCCACCTCGGCCTCCCAAAGTGCTAGGATTACAGGCATGAGCCACCATACGCAGCCCAAAAAGTCATTTTTAATAGAATTTTTCAACATTAATTTTTTTTATGTTGAAAAATTCTAAAGTATACTTTGGTCAAGACACAAAGTGCAGCACTTGTGACATTCAGCAAGCATTTAGAGAATTAAGATAATTGGTGCTAATTTCAAAGTTAAATGCCCTTCATTAAACCTCTCACAAAAATAAGCTAAATTTGAAACAAAAAAAAAAAGCCATGAACATTATCTGTAACATCTACAAAAGCAAGCAACAAATTTTTAAAATACTAAAAATTTTTTAAATATTGCTGGAAATTTTTTTAATTCTAGAAATTATATTTCCTTTCCATAAACCATCTACAACCTAGAAAGTCTGCTTCTTCCTAATGGTCTTTTTTCACAGGAGAGCCTGTGAACATCTCCCCAACATATACACCACTATGAAGAACCACAGCTCAAAGTGCTGAAACACTGGGTCAACCTCCTTTAAGCTTTCCAAGTCCTTAATGTTTCCAGGCAGCTCACTGGAAATCAAATGGGTTCAAATCACATTTTTGGAGTTTCAACAAGATCAGTGACTTATTGTTTACTTAAAATATCATGTATGAGAGTTTGGCTATGTTCTTCCATACTCACCTTCCAATTCAATGGAGTCAGCAATGGAGAAAGTGCCATGTACCACATAATGGCCAGGACAAACAATAACAGTGTCACCTTCGAAACAGGCATTTATAGCAGACAATGGATCACTATGGAACTAGAAAACAGTAACAACACATTTGTAAATACTGTTGTTACAACAGTAACAACACTCCCAAAAAGTAATCTGAGTATTACTCTAGGTGCCTTCATGTCTTACTTTAAAAACAGAAGCCAAAAACTGCATACTGAAGCTTCTCCTTTGATAATTCACTGACCTAACACATGCCTGGTAAGTGACTATTGCTGACAAAAGGCAGGGCTCTCACTACTTCCCACTGCTCAGAAAACCATCTTGGGGAAGCTCCTGTAAACATTCTGTGGGATTTGTAAAAACCTGCTGTGAATCAGAAGAAAAAAAAGCCACCTGGAGTGAGAAACTCTCCATTTACCTGAATTTCTCTTTCTTCCTCACCAGGCTCCTGGCAAAGCCTGTCCGTGAGCAGGGACCGCAGGAGACCAGCTATCATGGTGGAGGAGACCACATGAGTGATCTTCTGACCACTAGGACGGGCACCCTTTGCTTGGATATTAGAATTCTTCTGATATCCAAACACATACCTTAAAGAAACAAAACAAACCTATCAGTATGACAGCCAGTAAGAAAGGATGTTGACTAAGAAATACGAAGACACACATACCTCAACAAAGGATTCTCAATGAGTTTCAGCTTTTGTTTCAACTGTTCCATCTCCGAATACAATTTTAACCCTTCCACCATGGAGATATTTTCCTGCTCGGAATCAGAGTTACAATTTGACAAACTGCTTCTCAGATTTAAAAATTTCCTGTAACTCTCCTCACATTGAGACAACAGATTTCGGTAGTCAACAATAAGTCCTGATGGAACTCGGTCTTCGAGAATGTCATAATGCCTAAAAGTTTAAAAGCAAACTGAAATCCATTGCCTTTCAGGCACATTTTCCTATCATTAAAACAGCCCACTTAGCACTCCAAGACCCAGTAAGAAAAGTGTTTTATACTATATAACTCAGGTGCATATTAAGTCTTTCTGAATAGCACTGTAATAATAATCATAAGGGGAAGCTGTTGAAAGTTTAAAGCACCACTTCCTTAAGGTCACTAATTTTTCTTCTCTTTGAGGAGTTATTTTTCTTGGATCCAAGCATTTGTGCTTTAGAAACACTGAAAGTTCGCGTTGTACCATTTGTAATTATTATTTAATAAGAAATTATTTTATTCCTATAGATTCAATACCTTAATAAGAAGGTGACGGGGGGGGGCAACTTGGGAGTGGAGATAGGGAAAGCAGTATCCCAAATTGTTTCATAACAATGTTTAAGATTACTATATTTTTCATGGATCTGATATGACTTTTAAATTTTTTTACAGATTACAAGTAGAAATGACTCAAATAATCTAGTCCTTCCATCTAAAGCACTATGCCACAAAATTATGCTGAATATTCCCCTAAGGAAGATTATTAAAGAATTTCAAAAAATAAGCTCTTGAGAGTCTGAGGTGAAGAAAAAAGTGCCTTTACTAAACTAGAGAGTGATTGAAACAAAATAACCTTGTGCTGGACAACCATACAGGCACTTCAAATGTATTAATTTATAAACCTTCGCAAATATAAAAACAGAACACAGAGTATTTCTAGATGCAACAAAATAATCTGTAAATGTACAACCAAGTTAACAGATATAAAATTAATGGGTTTAAAAATAAAGTAAAATAGGCTGGGCACAGTGGCTCACACCTGTAATCCCAACACTTCGGGAGGCCAATGCAAGTGGATTGCTTGAGCCCAGGAGTTTGAGGTCACCCTGGGCAACATGGCAAAACTCTCTCACTAGAAAAATGCAAAAATAAGCCTGGTGTGGTGGCATGCACTTGTAGTCTTAGCTACTCAGGAGGGTGAGGTGTGAGGATCGCTTGAGCCCCAGGGTTCAAGGCTGCTGTGAGATCTAATTATATCACTGTATTCCATACCCCAGCCTCCGCAACAGAGCAAGACCCTGTCTCAAAAAACAAAAAACAGAGGCTCAGGGCCCCATCCAGACTGATTTAAATGGGTCTCTGGAAGTAGAGGGGTATTTTTTTAAGTTCCCTGGGGATGCTAATGTGTAGCCTAGAGTGAGACCTATTGCCTGAAATGATGTTTTGTTTTGTTTTTTTAATTTACTCATGCTCTAAATAAGGTAAGGACAAACAAAACCAAAATACAACCACATCTTAAGCAAATTTACATCAAATTATGATGAACAGTTAAACATTTTAAATGAATACAAAAGAAACTTTTCCCACTTTTCAAGTAAGTGAATTAGGTGAAGCTTGAAAAGCAAGGATTTTGTCTACTTTGGTTAACCCAAAAGAAACTGAGTGAACAGCAGTGAAAAAAAGGGTCAAACAAAAAGTTTTAAATGTTAAAAATAAAATACAATAAATTGAAGATGAAACCACAGTCTAATAAGTTGTGAAGATTAAGACTCAAATTTTAGGATCGATCCAAGAAGGCCGTTTAGGAACAGCTGAGGATTGCAGCTCCCAGTGAAAGCGCAGAGGGTGAGTGGATGCCGCATTTTTACCGCCCGTAGACTAGGAAATTCCCAGGCGGAGGAGCGCCACGGGTTGCCACCATGGCTGTTTCAGCCAGCGTGGCTGTGCCGGCTGGCGCTGCTGCTTTGCCCCACGTGGCTGCTTTGTCGGCGCCCCGGAGCAGCAGTTCTCCAAAATGCACCAGTCCGGTTGCCCTTTTGGCTGGCGATTGGAGCCACGGGAAGTCACCCATACATGTGTTTAAAAAAGGAACTGAGCAGGGAACCAGGACAGTAGATTCCAGGGCAAAAAAAGGGCCATGAATCTCAGCACCGCTGTTTAAGCCAGCGCAGTGAGTCCCCGAAGGGAAAACACACAGACCCAGCACCTCTTCAACAGGCGACTGAAACCCCAAATTTAAAAAAAAAAAAAAAAAAAAGGCTCTGAGGCAGGGAGCCAGGTGATCAAGCTTGGCTGGTCCCACCCCCAAAAAAGAACAGCAATCAGAAACTCTCTGGATTGAGAGTTTCTCAGCAAGCGCAGCTGAACCCAGGACAGTCCAGCTCTGTGGGGGAGGGGCGTCCGCCATTACCGAGGCAGCCCACCACTATGGAGGTAGTCAGCCAATGCTGAGGCAGCCCACCATTGCCAAGACAACCTGCCATTGCTGAGGCAGTCCGCCATGGCCAAGGCAACCCACCACTACAAAGAGACTCCGCCTTAACAGAGGCGGGCCACCCTTGCCGAGGCAATTTTAACTACACCCATATAAACGGGACTGCAGGGAAGTTCACTGGGCAGCTGGGCGGAGCCCACAGCAGCTCAGCAAACCCTCTACAGGCAGACAGTGACTAGGCTGCCTCCTTGCTGAGCAGGGCAGCTAGGAAAAAAAAAAAAAGAAGGCAGCAGCATAACGGAAACTCATAAATAAAGCCCTAAATCCCTGGGACAGAGCACGTGGGAACAAAAAGCGGTACCAGCCCAGCAGCTCTGAATGAACAACGGAGCTCACAGCTCAGCATTTGAGCTCCTGTAAAGAAGAGATTGTCGGTTCTGGATCCAAGATGGCCGTTTAGGAACAGCTCAGGATTGCAGCTCCCAGTGAAAGCGCAGAGGGTGAGTGGACGCTGCGTTTTTATTGCCCACAGACTAGGAAATTCCCGGGCGGAGGTGCTCCACGGTCGCCAGCGCGGCTGTTTCGGCCTGCACAGCTGTGCCGGCCGGCACCGCTGCTTTGCCTCGCGCGGCTGCTTTGTCGGCGCCCCGGAGCCACAGTTCCCGTACAAAATACACCGGTCCGGGGGCCCTTTTGGCTGGCGATTGGAGCCACGGGAAGTCGCCCGTACACCGGATCAAAAAGGGGACTGAGCAGAGAACCAGGACAGTAGATTCCAGGGCAAAAAAAAAAAGCACCACAAACCTCAGTGCCGCTGTTTAAGCCAGCGCAGTGAGTGGCCGAAGGGGAAAACAAACAGACCCGGCGCCTCTTCAACAGGCGACTGGAACACCAACTTAAAAAAGGCTCTGAGGCAGGGAGCCAGGTGATCAGGCTCGGCTGGCCCCACCCCCGCAAAAGAACAGCAACCCGAAACTCTGGAATGAGAGTTTCACAGCAAGCGCAGCTGAACCCGGGACGGTACAGCCCTGTGGGGGAGGGTTGTCCGCCATTACCGAGGCAGCCCACCGTTGCCAAGGCAACCAGCCATTGCTGAGGCAGCCCGCCGTTGCCAAGGCAACCCGCCACAGCAGAGACTCCGCCCCAACAGAGGCGGGCCACCATCGCCAAAGCAGTTCTAACTACACGCATATAAACAGTACTGCAGGGAAGTTCACTCAGCAGCGGGGCGGAGCCCACAGCAGCTCAGCAAAGCTGCTATAGGCCGACAGTGACTAGGCTGCCTCCTTGCTGGGCTGGGCAGGTCTGAAGGAAAGAAAAAAAAAAGAAGGCGGCAGCATAACGGAAACTCATAAATAAAGCCCTAAATCCCTGGGACAGAGCACCTGGGAACAAAAGGCAGTTTATGAGTTCTGCTGCAACAGACCTAAAAGTACCTGCCCAGCAGCTCTGAATGAACAACAACAGAGCTCACAGCTCACCGTTTCAGCTCCTATAAAGAAGAGACCGTCTCCTCAAGCAGCTCCCTGACCCCTATATATCCAAAAAGACACCTCATAAAAGAGAGATTAGATTGACACTAGGCGGGTATCCTTCTGGGACAAAGATAGCAGAAGAAGAAAACTGGTAACAACCCTTGCTGTTCAGCAGCTGCTGCAGGTAAACCCCAGGCAAGCAGGGCCTGGAGTGAACCTCAGCAGACCTACAGCAGAGGGGCTAGACTGTAAGAAGGAAAACCAAGAAACAGAAATAACCTCATCATCAACAAACAGAA